TGGCCTCAGGTCAAGCTTTTCTGGGCTCTGGACATCCCTTTTGTCTTCAGGAAGAGGGCATGGCATTTCTATCTTCCTAAAGTGGACGAGGTCAGGAAAGGAGTATGGGATATGTGACCTGGGCTCCCCTAACCCCAGTGGAGGTCTTAGGGCTACAAACGCCCAGACACTCCACAGACTGCTAGTCAAATATGGAGATCATGTATCAGAGCCCAGGTTCCCTTCTGTGTAAAAGGTGACAGTGTGATAAGTGTCCTCCCAGGGACTCGGAACACCACCCATGCTGAGCTCTGAACAAATGAAGCCCCAGGCTGCAGCGTCCTCAGGCTCTTGCCCCACGACCTTCCACCCTCTAGTTCTTTCCATGCCCATCTCAGGCTGGCCCAGCCTCCTGAGGCTATCCTGCCTGTAGCGTCCTGTCCCCTAAAGTCTTTAGAACAGACTATGGTCCCCAGGGTCTGAGCCCAGAATGGGTATAGTCTTAGGAATGAGCTCAAGATCTCCCAGTTCTGTGGACTTCACCCAGCTCTGGCTGGGGACCCAACAGAACTTGGCCAAGATGTCAAGTGAGCTCAGCCATTGCTCTCCTGGGATGTGCGAGTGTGATCTTAGGCACCGACTTCATCTGTAATAAACATGCACTCTGCCCCATTCACCTCTCAAAGGGGAAGGGCCCATGACCCCTGAAAAACCTGGGCCAACAGCATGTCAGCGTCTGTCTGGTTTGACATTGACTGAGCCAGTGGCAGGCCGGAGGTAGCAGCAACGGATGTGGAATTTCCACAGCCTACTGGCGAGAGCTGCACCTGGACTCCAAGCAGAGGCAGCTGTGCAGCCTGGCACCCAGAACTACCCTGGAGCCAGAGAGGGACTAGAGGATGTGGTGGGCGGGAGGGGAGGCTTGGGTTCCCTAAAGGCTGCACTGGAGCCAGCCATAGCAAGAGGATTTCAGCATGTAGCCCAGGCTGGCTGCTAACTTGAGATCATCCTGCCTAGGCCTCGTGAGTGTTGGGATTACAGGCATACGTCACTATACCTTCAGACTCACCGTCGCTACCTTTAGCTGTTTCCTTCTCTCAGAATGGCACCTGAACTAACCCTGCTGGGTAGTTGTCAGGGCTACAGTCTGTAAAAGTCTGGGCACAGTGCCTGGTGTTTCTTCTCTGGGAGCTGAGCAGGGCTCCTCTTCCCTGCTGTCTTGGATAAGAATCCCTGACTTTGTTTCCCCCCAATTTCCTGTCCTCCCCTTAGGGTATCCTCCCTAGGCTCCATTACTTATTCCTTAACTTCCCACAGCCTGTGATTTCAGCATGGGGTACCTTCTCTGCTTCCCACATCCTCCTCGGGCCATTCCCTCACTTCCTGTAAAAGTGCATCCCCTCTGAGGGTGACACCACTGTCCCTGCCCCCTTCCATGCCATCGTGGACCTCTGTTTATCTGGCTCAGTTCTGAGAAGTCCTAACCTTGTATGAAGCAGAAGCTGCTTCTTAGCACTCCTGTTCCTCTCCCTAAGACCCGGCTGTGCGGCTGCCTCTGGCCAGTGCTGGGAATAGAAGGGACATGTTTGAGTTACTTCTGTGTCCGTGCGATGAAATGCCCGACACCAGCCATAGGAGGAAAGGTTCATTTTGACTCACAGGGTCAGTGGGCTCAGTCCACTGTGTTGGGGGGGGAGGCGTGTTGAATAGCACACTTTACATCATGGGCCAGAAGACAGTATAAAGGGGGACCCCAATCCTTACCCAGTGTCATCTCCCCCACCCCCTTTTTCTGTCTGAGACATGGGATGGTGCTCATATTTAGGGTGGGTCTTCCTCTCTCAGTGACTCTTCTCTGGAAACATCTGATAGACACACCCAGGGTGTGCCACGCCAATCTCCCAGGTGATTCTCAATCCAGGCAAGTTGATAATGAAGACAGACTAAGACAGGTTACTGTTGCCAACCCCTAACACTCTCTTTTTTTCTGCTTCTGAGAATCATGGGAAGCCAGGAATGGAGCTGCTATCAGCCTGGGTCTTCCAAGTCACTGGGGTAAACAGAATTCCTCTGCCCACTCAATGTACAGTGAGGGAAGGAAGAGGCTCTTGCTGCCTTCAGCCACTGTCAGGCCTGCTTGTTTCAGCAGCATAGCAGAGCCTGTACTGACTGATATAACTTGGCTCCCAGACCTGACCTCCATCTCATCCCTGCCACCATTAGAGATGATCCTCACTTGCTATCTACACCACTGGCCTGGTACCCGACACTCACAACCTGGTCTCTGCCTCTTCAACAGCTGTGGTCCATAGGTTTCATTCACTGTGGTCTCACTCTGAAATAGCAGCTTAAGGCAATTCCCTCTTCTCTGCATTCAAATGGCTGTTGTGTGACCATGGCTTTTGTCTGGTTAGTCTCTCTCTCTCTCTCTTTCTCTCTCTCTCTCTCTCTCAACTGGACACAAGTTAGAGTCACATGGGAAGAGAGACTCTCAATTAAGGAAATGCCTACCTTAGATTGTCCTGTAGTCAAGTCCGTAAAGCACTGATGTGGGCGGGTCTGGCCCACTGTGAGCAGTGAGACCCTTGGGCAGGTGGTATAGGGATGCAGGCCGAGCGAGCTGTGGGGAGCAAGGCAATAAGCCACACTCTTCCGTGGCCTCTGCTTCAGTTCTGGCCTCTGGGTTCCTGCCCTGACTTCCCTTCCTGGTGGACTGTAAGCTATAAGATGAAATAAACCCTTTCCTCTCCAAGCTGCCTTTGGCTGTGATGGCATTCATCACAACAGCAGGAAGCCAACCATCACAGCCTCTTTCCACACCACCTCCTTCTGCACCTGATGGCCCACAGCCTCACCTCTTCACTCGCCCATCTCCTCTCTTCTCCACTCACAGTCACTCTCTGCTGTGGGCTGGCAGAAGCCATGCTTGGGAGAATCCTGGTACCTGTGGTCTGGCTGCCGTCTGCCATTGGAGGAACCAACAGCGGTGACCACAGCCCTCCGGACTTGCCAGATGCCTTCCTTCTTCCCTGAAGACGTTCTCTCACTGCCCTCCATGCTCCCTCACTCATGTCCTCTCTTTGGCTTCATCTGCAACTTCTTCCAGGGCTTCTACTCAGTTGACAGAGAAAATCCCTCATGGGAACAGTATGTCCTGTCACTGAGACACACTGACCTCTTGCACTTTTTTGGACTCCTGAGCCTCCTTCCCTCATCCCCAGGCTTCTCTTACTCCACCAGCTACAATGTTCAATATTTGCTCCCCATAATCAATCAGTCAGCCAGTCAGTCAGTCAGTCAGTCACTCTCACAGCTCTCCTGCTACTGTTCAGCTGCCTGTGTCCAGGTTCATGACCAAGTGTCCCTTCCTATCTTTGCCTCGATGGTTCTTCAGTACCCACCCATGCCCACCTTTGGCCATCCAGCTCTCAGCATGTCTGTAGAGGGCCAGCTGCAGGCCAGGAATGATGCTGGTCCATCTTTTCCATAAGTTGGCATTGACCCCTTTTGGCCCAATAAAGACACCTTTTTAGGTCCTTAGTGCTGAACTTCTGGTTAGCACCTTGTCCCAAGGGCCCTCTGCTCGGCTCACTGGCCTGTATTCCTTTCCTTGCGGTGGTTGGGTCCTTTCTAGGAAAGTTTTCGTGATACCCTGGCTTCTTGTGGACTGGAGCCTTTGCTCTCTGCCACCGCTGAAGCTGAGCCTGGGACACAGTGGCTGCCCACAGCCTGCTCAGACGGGAGCTCTCTGCAGGTGGGTCCTGCTGCTTGGTCAGCACTGCACCCATCACTGGCAGCCTTCAGTGGCACTCAGTGTGGAGCACAGACGATGGGAAACCACTTTTTTGCCATCCTAGCTATCCCGGCATTAACTGTCGAGGGCTTACTGTGTTCAAGGTCTCCTTGGCTTCCCTGCAGGCACACTTTATTTAATCTTCACAATGACCCTTCCTTCAGACTTAGAGCATTACCTCTCAGTTTACAGATGAGCAAACAGGCACAGAGAGGTTAGGTGACCTTCCCAAGCTCACACAGGCAATCAGTGACTGTCAGGATCCGGATTCAGGTTCCGTCCTATCGCTGGTTCAACAGTGGCTCTCAAATATTGTCATATGTCATACTTCCCGAATTTCTGAGAGTTCCCTAGTTTGGAGCAAGGGTATTTGCAGCTGTAATCAAGGATCTTGAGATGAGAACATCCTGGACTAAGGTGAGACCTTAAGTCCGGTGTTGAGTATGCTGGGGAAAGGGAACACAGACATGTGGCAGAGTCAAGAGATCGGGTGAATCTAAAAGCCAGGAATATCATGACTTACCTGCAGCCACCAGAAGCTGAGGAAGGCCAGGAATAATGTATCCTCAGAGCCTGAAGAAGGACCAACTCAACAACATGCAGACTTCAGACGTCTCCCAAGTACTAGCCAGGCCCTTTCTACCTAGCTTCAAAGATCAATGGGAGTGGACATGTTCAAGGTGGCATGGCCATAGATGAAGAGCTCAGACCCCTGTGTCCCTGAACTGGTGGGGAGTCCATTCCTGTAGTTTAAAGCCAGGTGAAAAGTTGCTATGGTAACCCTAGGGATACTTCTTTCTCATGGTGACATACTGAGGCTTTTATTGGCAGGCCTGGAAGTGAGGGAAATGAAGTCCCAGGCTATGTGACAATGACCTAGTCATTTCCCTTCTATGGGGCTGATTGCTGTGTAATAAAATGAATGCTTAGGATATCCAGTGTTCTCCTAACCCTGATATTCTGTAGTCCTCAAGAAAAGCCAGGACGGGGCTGGAAAGATGGATCAGTGGTTAAGAGCACTTGCTGCTCTTCCAGAGGACCTGGGTTAGGTTCTCAGCACCCACATTTGACAGCCTACAAATGCCTTTAACTCCAGCTTCAGGGGATCTACCACCCTCTTCTGGCTTTTGGGGGCACCCCTTCCATGTGGCATATACTCACAGAGACACATAAATAAAAATATTTTTTAAAAAAGAGGAAGAAAAGCCATGAGCCAGGCCAACAAGGCTCTGTTGGGAATTTTCAAATTTATTCCAACGTGCTATTTTTTTTAAAAAATATCTTCAGGCTGAACACTCAGCCCAAGCTGTAATAAAGGCAATTATTATACTTGTAAAAACGTCTCATTCACAGTACAGATGGGATTTACAAGGGTCACACACACCAATACTGAGCGATTCTGTCCTTTTGTACAACAGACTGTGCTTTAGACCTGCATGGATTTCTTGTTTGATTTTTTTTCTTTTGCACTGATGAATACCATACCGACAACTGCAAGATACAAGTGTAAAAACTGGAGTTTAAATAAAACCACAGGCAAAACTACCCCTCTCCAGTGCGGTTGCTGTACATATCTACAGTACGAGTTTTGGAATGTATTGCCATTTAAGAACGTGGAAACTCTCTACAGACGATTTCACGTACAGAATGCATACACCTTTTCGAAAAACCAAGGCAAAGGTTTATCTTACAGAGCGTGAGTATCTTACATTTGCCTACACGGTTCCCTTTCCTCTTGACCACCACATTCGGTAAAGTGATCAGTAGGGCCCAAGCGGTTTTCAAATGCCAAGCAGACAGGGACCACAACACGGAAGCAGATTTGGCGGCACTGACTTTGGGAACTTTCTCAAACGACACGGCAGAGCAGATCAGTCTCCCAGGACTTTACCTGGAAGGGTCAGCTGGAGCAAAGGACTAGAAGGTGACTTCAGCTCAGACACATTCCTTCTTCCTAGTCCACTGGGCCAGGAGCGAGCAATACCGAGAGGAAGCTGGGAGCCAATGCTCTTAAGAGGTTTCCCCAGCGAGCAAGGTGGACTTTGAGCCTGGAAAATAGGCAGCTACCCCTGTCAGAACTTCTGGAGGGTCTTGGTGGCTGGGACCAGAGTGTCGGCTATGATGTGGGGTGGGAAGAGGCAGGCCTGCCTTTGATGAGGAAGAGGTTACTATTCTGAAGGATAGGAGGTTGCCCAATAAAGGACATCTAGGGGTCAGGCCTCAGGGACAGGTGGCTTGGAACCACCACCTACAGAGGACAGGTAAGGATCAGAGACAGTCTATGCCGAGGAATGGCCATCTTGTTCTATTGTCAGTGATGACAGTCTAGTTCAGAAATCTGTGTAGGGTCTGCTGACACACACCAGAACTGCAAAGTCAGAAGCGGCCGGTTGTGGGCAAGGAGCCCAGATCATATTCCTGGAGTGAGAGATTTCCAGAGGGAGAAGGTGTGTGCAGACTGGGGCCATGTGCTTGGGGAGTGGTGGAGAGAGTCTGAAAGAGGAGTTTAGAGCTGGGCCTGGTAGTGGCATCCATGGCAGCCCTCTGGGCACCTGTGGGGGGGCACTAGTTCTCAGGCTAGAGTCTGTGTATTCTGTCCCTGTCACCTAGAGGCAAGTTTCCATTTCCTAGTCTTTGTTACATCCCATTTCCTTGAGTCAGCTGGGCCCAGTAACTGTGGGGACTCTTCATTCTGTGATCAGACCGCATCTGTCACTAGACTGCCGAGGAGAGGAGAGAGGGGAGGGGAGGGGAGGGGAGGGGAGGGGAGGGGAGGGGAGGGGAGGGAGCTGAGTCAGGAGAGTAATTCCCAAGTAGAGAGCGGTGGTATCTCAAGGTCAGGAGCTAGCCTGTAGTCTGTGGCCAGGAGATCTTGCCTAGGAAGCCATCAAGCCTGGATGAGACAATGCTCTTTGTCCAACTCCTCACCTCAGGCCTTAGTATCTCCGGCCTGTGGAGCCTGTGGGGCCTGTGGGGCCTGTGGGGCCTGTGGGGCCTGTGGGGCCTGTGGGTTAGGGCTGAGGGGCCAAAGGGAGGAAAGCTGTGACCTCCAGCCTGGGCTGACCACCGCAGAGGCTTCTGCTCTCTTCCTCCCGGTGTCCCAGCCTGGACTTGACAGTTTCTCCTGGTGGGCAGACTTACAGCCGTCATGCATCTGAAGGCTGTCAGTCTGATACCCATGACACCCTGCGGCACAGCACACAGCACAGGAGGCCCTACCCTACGGACTCTTACTTTTGAAGTACTGAGTCAGGCAGGCAAAGAGGACGAATCAGGTGACTGGACTGGGCACTGGGCCTGTGACTGGCTGATTTGCTCATCCAGCAGGGACCATGCACAGATGGGAACAAACTGGAGGGAGGGAGGGAGAGGGGGGGCCCAGCATGGTGAGCCTTGTCTCTATCTTCTCAGAGAACAGCTTCAGCAGTCCAGCTCTCCCATGGGCCTTCAGCCACGTGCCCTGCCTGATGTCCAGGGATAGGCTTCTGCTTTGACTACAGTGACAGCAGTATCCAGCATAGCTGGAACATGCTTTATGATTTGGGGACAAGGCTGTCAGAGGGGCCTCCTCACCATGGTCCCTTTTCTCTATCCTTTGGAGAAAGTAAAGGAAATTTCTGTAAGGTTTTAGAAATAGGTCCTGTGCCACAGAGGACTTGTTTTTTGTTTTGTTTTGTTTTGCATTCAACAGGTCAAGTTCTATATTTCAACATGGGATTTAAATTTTTGGTCGTATTAATTTTTTTTTTCAAAGCAGGTTTTTGCCTTGGGAACTGGAGAAAAATTCAAATGACTTGGGACAATTCAGAAATCTTCTCAGTCAAGAGAAGAGAATCTGAAGAGCCTGGAGAACGTACCAAACACCATCTTTGGTTGCTCTGTGTGTGTCTATGTACGCATATGTAATCCAGCCAGGAAGGCAGTGCCACACTTTGTTCCTCGGGGACAGACGTGAAACAGCATCCACACCCCAGGCTCAGAGCAGGCCCACACTAGGAATATCCCTAGTCTTGCCATGGTCCTTTCATCCCACAGGTATTTCTAAACACAGAGGAGCCAGTCTATGGCCAGGCCTAGGAAGCAGAGACCTATAGGTGTGTAGGAGAAACCTGGGTTCCTGTATTAGCCCTGGGGGAAGGTGGAGTACAGAGGAGAAGGTGAGGCCCATGGTCCACACTACATTTCCCTCATGCTATTATTCTGTACTGAGATGCTAGCAAACAGGTAGCTTTTTGTCCTGATTCTTGCAAAAAATAAAAGTTACTGTTCTTAGCCGGGACGGGTGGGGAGTGGTGGGGTTGGTGCCTGCCTGTATGGTGGTTTTCTGGCTCGGGGTTCTTGTCATTCTGCTGACAGACAGGAGTGGCCACTAGCTGGGTGTCGGCATGGAAATCGTAGGGATCTGTTTGTCTGCAGGACTGCTTGCCTTTGAATTGAATTACCTTCTTTTCCTCCCCAGTTCTTCTCTCCCTCAGTGCACTGCAGCTTCTCATGGGCCTCGAGGTGGGGACGGCTGCCAGTGTGGAGTGTGGAGTGGAGGTGAAGAGGCCCCGCCTACAGCCTTGTCCCCAAAGCACAAACTAGTCACAGCCTCAAGCTCCTCATGGGTGGCTCTTTTCATGGATGTGTGTGATTTGTGTTCTTTCTTTTCATCTCAAGCAGCGAAAGGTCTAGAAAAAGGCACAGGTAACTGCACAGGTGGAGCGATAGAACAGAGGGGGCTGAGCAGGAGCTGTGTGGACAGACGGGCAGATGGGAGAGGACGCCCATGGGAGCAAGGTGACTCCAGGAAGTTGGCTGGAAATGTCTGCTGCCGAACACTGGAAGCCAGATGAAGTGGCTGGAGAGGTTAAGTGCCGGGGGGGCCACTGTCTTTGGGCAGGAGTAGAGGTTTCCTGGGCTCCCCACTACCTAAGAGCTCAGGGGAGCCTTGACGGGTCCTGGGTTCCCCAGAGAGGTTCCTGCTCCGGGCTGGGAAGTGAGTGGAGGCCTCTGCCAGGCAGTCCATGGAGCTGCTGCGGTCCAGTGGTGGGAAGCTAGAGGCCTTGCGGCTGGCCAACGGGTGTGGTAACTCCAAGAGGGCGCTCCAGGATGGTGCTGCCTGGTGGCCCTGGGGCAGCTGTGGGGAGCAGGGGCTGTGTTCGCCCATGGGTTCTGCAGGGGCTTCAGCCCTCCGAGGTTCCCAGTCAGGAGGTCTTCCTGGGCCTCTGCCGGTCCTTTCCTCCTCCAGCTCTGAAGAGAGTGTAAACTTGGAGACCTTGGCCACAGGGGACACTGATGCTGACGGGCTCTCTGTGGGGCTCCGGCGGCTGCGCTCCTGGGCTTCTCGGGCCCCAGTTAGGTCACTGCCACCCCCTGAGAAGCCACTGACCCAGGCTGCACAGGCCCCTGGCAGCAGGGTGGGGTGGGCTCCTGGTCGGGCCTGTACCATCTGGATCCCACCAATCGGAATGAGGGGGCAGGGGGCGCGGCTCAGGTGCTGGGAGTGCAGAGGCAGGTGACTGAAGAGGTTCTCCTCATTTCGGCTAGGGAGGTGGCCGTGGAAGTCATGAGGGGCAGAGAATGGTCGGGGGAAGAGAGGAACAGGGCCAGCTGATGGACTTCGAGACTCAGTCTTCTGCTGGGGTCAGAAAATAAGACAGAGGGAGGCAAGGGTTACATGCTTGACACGTTTGGAACTGGGGTCTAGAGTCATAGAGGGCAGGCAGGTCTGAGATCAGAGTAAGGTGGTGAGTGGGGCCAGAATCAGGACTCCCATCGCTGTGCTCAGGAGCTTCCCACGGGCATGTGGGTCCCACATCTGCAGGAGGGGGATCCTGGGTATGGGGGCTGTGTGGTCACCCTGGTCTACTTTGGCTCTTCTGCTTCCTCCCCATGCCCCCCACCCCACCCCTTTTTGTTTTTCGAGACAAGGTTTCTCCGTGTAGCCCTGGCTGTCCTGGAACTTGCTTTGTAGACCAGGCTGGCCTCGAACTCACTGAGATCCACCTGCCTCTGCCTCCCAGGTGCTGGGATTAAAGGCGTGCGACACCACTGCCCAGCTGCCTCCTCCCTTCTTAAAATGGTTTTGACCTAACTACCCTGCGTGTGAATTCCCTTCCAAGGATCTCAGACTTCCACCACAGGAATTTTAATGGGACCCTCAAATTAACAAGAAAGATGTTCTCCTAGAAAGGATGCTGTGGGGTCAGGGCAGCACTGTGGAAGGAGTGTCAACAGGGACAGTGTCACACTGGAAGATGGCAGCCGTGGTGGCGGGGTGCTGTGGAACAGACACTGCGAGGTGTCAGTGTGGGGATAGTGTAGAAGACGGGATGTCACCACTGAGGGAGATGGGTAGCAGTGGTGTGGGAGGACACAGGGGACAGAGGCAATCTGCTCTTAGCCACCATGCTCACGGTTTCACAGGGACAGTGCGGACAGTGAAGTCCTTAAAGGAGACGGATGATTTTGCTAGAGCTCCACCATCTGCTCCAAGGACACAGTGGACAGGGAAGAGATGGCTGAAGAATTATACAAGTGTTTACACCCACATCCAAGGCATCACTGCTCACTAGGGCTAGAACCCAGAGCCCATGAGCTCCAGAGCCACGTTTGGGGTTTCTGAGGGTGCATGGAAGCACAATATTGATTGGCACAGTGGGGACCCACGACATGTTTGCTACACAACCAGGAATGCTGGGCTAGCTCTGGATGTGACGTGTAGAGGGTATGAATGGGTAGCTCCCGACCCCCAGGAAGGCCATGTTGGGGACTCACCCATGCAGAGGTGCACATTTCAGGGCTTCTGCTGAGAAGTGTGTGAGGTAGAGGCACGGGCTGGAGGAGAGCCCGTGGAGCCGGCCCCAAGCCCAGGCTACACTTGCCCACTGAGGGGCTGCAGGGCCCAGCCAGGGCCCACTTCCCTGGCAGTACTGACTGTGGTGGTAACTCAGCCTGGCCCAGGGACCATCTCCTGGTGGGTGAATATCTGGGGGCGCCTGTGTCTGTGGCACTCTTGAGTCCAGGGGGCAGAGGTGCCCAAGGGGGCACTTCTCTTTCTATGGGGTGGGGAGTGAGAGGAGACAGCTCCAGTCTTGGAGACCCACAAAGACGAGGGCCCATGTCCCTTCCTGGGCCCATCTGGGGGTCAGGTGTGCTTGTGACTGAGGCCTGCACTTCTCGGGCCGGTGAACATTGCTGGGGAGACGAGTCATTTTTGTTGAGTGAATGTTTGCGAGTGAGTGAGGGGCGGCTGCCTGCCTCTTTGCTTGGGGACCATGGCCTCCTAGGGGACATAGCCTTGGAACTCAGAGCTGAGCTCATGTCTGTTTCCACTGGGGCCAGTTCCAGCCGGGGAAGGCCTGGGGTACCCCGGCTAGCTGGGGAACAACTGCTGGCTGCCAAGCGTGTGACTTCTGAGATGGAGCTGCCTTGTGGGACCTCCTCAGAGGTGGTAACTGGAGGCTGAGGGCCCTGAATGGGTGAGGAGTCCTCCTGTAGTGTGGCTGGCGGGCAGAGTGGAACTGCCTCTGAGGATGGCCTGGGCAGCTCATCCTGGCTCTCTTCTTCCTCCTCCTCCTCCTCCTCCTCCTCCTCCTCCTCTTCATCCAGTTCTGAGTCGGAATCAGAGTCCTCCAGGTCTGAAAACTGGTGCTCCTCCACAGCCTCGGAGCCCTCTTGCCCCTCTGAGTCCTGGAGCAGGTCATCACTGGTTCCTGAGGGGAGAAAGGGGGACTCAAGATGACAGCTGCTTCAGGTTAAGCCCGTTTTCACTGCCTGCCAACTAGGCATAATGCCACATGGCAGACGACCAAGTGACATAGCAGGTAGAAGAATACTCTGTAAATAATAGTGTGCAATGACCTCACGCCTCAGTGTGCAAGTCCAGTTCTGAAGGCTTTACGTGAATTTATGTAGTTCATCAAAGAGTCCTGGGATCACTGGGGAGGTGCTGCTATTCTTACCTTCATGTTATGGGTAAGGAAACTGGGGTAAGGGGGATTAAGAAACCTGTCCAAGTAAGGTAGAAATAGGGCTGCAACTTCACTGGAGCAAAAGAGATCATCTGCCTCCTTGTTTCTCAGTGTGGGTTCCACCATGGGCCAGTTATAACACTGTACCTCAGTGTCTCCTTTCGTCAAATGAATACAGGCCTGGTGCACAGCAAGGGCCCAAATAATTATAGCTCACTATGACCTCACTAATGATGGCATCTATCATTCTAGGATAGTGCATGCTGGCTGGACTAGAAGAGAAAGTCACAGTCAGTTAAAATGTAAACCAGATGCCAACATGACCAGGTTGGCCTACACAGCAGCTTTGGGCAGATGGCAGAGTTTGGCCTCTGTGGGTAGCTGGGCTAGGCTGACCTCAGTCTGCAGGGCAGGACTCACCCCTGCCATTCCTGCCCCATGGAATACTCTGAATGCCAGCTTCCTGGTCTGGCATCTTATGGGGCCGTGGCTTCCACCAGCTGGGTTGAAGCCATGCCACTACTAACAATCTAGACTGAGACATCTCTGAAATGGGCAGCCCTCTGTACTGTGGAGGACTACCTGGAGAGTTTGGGTTCTGTTGGCCCATCACTAGACTGCTGTGACATGACCAATATGGGCTGGTGACAGGTAGACTAATGTGTCCAGTGTGTCCACTAGCCCTATTAGTCACACACAAGCACTGCATCTTCTTCTGTCCAGGAAAGGTAGACCCAGAACCCTGGGGTCCTGGCTTTGCCTCTTCACCATGCTCACAGAAGGGCAGCATCAGTGGTACTAATACCTCCGTGGACAGGTACCAAAGTGGATGATGTGAACATTCATTAGGACAGAGGCAGAAAATTGTAGGTAGGGCAGGAGATGCCAGGCAAAGGGAGGCCATGAAGCTGAAGGCAGGGCTTTGGGCAGCTGGAGGTAAAAAGATGAGACCTTGAAGGGAATGGGAGGAGACATACCAGATAGGGATGAGGGACAAGGCCTCATAATGGCTCCAGGCCCTTATTTCCTGACCTCGGACTCTGGCAGGAGCCCTGATCACAGCCTCCAGATTATACTTTGCCCTGCTTCTCACTCATACAGTGAACCCCAAGCACTGAGAAGGTCATCATCCAGCTCTCCCCTTGGCTGGGTCAGAACTAGTGTTCAGTCCTATAGTTCGAAACGACTGTATGCTTCGAGAAGCAGATGTGGCCCAGGTTTGAATCCTTGCCCTACCATCTTCTTGCTGGGTGGTGATGGCTAGTGTATGTCTTTTGTGCTTGGCTTCTTCACTAGTACAAGGGAAGGGGTAGACAACTTCGCTATCATCATCATCATCATCATCATCATCATCATCATCATCATCATCTGCTTCTCCCATCTCATAGGCAGGTGGCTGGGGTGGCACTGTTAGCATTGGTAGATGAAGGCTGAAGCAGGGACCTGACTGGGGATGGAGTCAGGGCCAGCATCTCCTGATGCCCATAGGACGGCCCTCAAAGCCTTCCTAGACTGAGGAGGAAGTAGAGGCCCAGCGGTACTGTGCTCGTTCCTGAGCTGTGCGGGGATGATGGAAGCCTTCTCCAGGACACACTACACCAGGCACTCCACATCCAGGTTCCTGCAGGTATCTAAGGGTCTCCCCTGCCTGTTCACCCCTTCCTGATGCTCCACATGGAGGTTTTTTTTTTTTTTTTTTTTTTTTTTTTGCCACTGGAAGGCACTGGATAGAGCCTATGGCTGGGTGCAGTTTCTAAGACTGGCCACATGGTGGCAGTGGCTTACAACCTTCTCCCCACCAGCGCTGGAGCTGCTGGCAGCCTGGTCCTTTCCAAGCTTTTTCTTGCTACCTGGGCTGTGTGTTTGGGATGCGCCAGTTCCTAATGCCAGTCTCTGGGTCTGTCTTGGTGCAGGACATAACAACTCTATCCTTTTAGTCTCTTAGGTTACAAAGCTTGGCGTCATCCTGGCCCCTTTCCCCTCACCTCCTCTTAAGATTTAGCAGCAAGATCCATGGACTCAGCCTCTGATTGCATCTGGAATTGGACCACTTCTCACTGCACGGTGCTCGCTCAGCCTGTGCTCACATGCCTGGCCTGGATCACATCCCTACACCCCTGCACACAGCCAGAGGAGGTCAGAGGGCATCTGCACAGCCCCCATCACATTCAAGGATGGCAGACAGGTGGCCGCTGACTTGGTTCCCTGACTTTCCCGGCCCCAGGGCTGGGCTTTACTTTGTCCTTTTCTTGAAATGGGGCAAATCGAGTATCCACTGCGTGTTCCAGGGACCTCCACGAGACACCATCTGTAACCTGATGTGCACTTTGACAAGTGTGGGGACCGTGCGTGACAGTTTGTGAAGACAGTGCTTCAAGTTTATTGTTCTGAACACGGATTTAGTCAACGTCAAAGGAAACCTGATTTAAATCTTGTTCGACTGCTCCTCTTCGCTTAAAAAAAAAATCAAAAGCACAACTCTCCTTCCTTCCCTTCCCTCCCCCTTCTCTATTCCCCCTGCGCCCTCCTGTCACACTGAGTCCTGATCCTGACTTCAGGGAATCTGAAGTTAAGGTCTGTCACTTCTGGAGGACCTGCCCATCCATCTGCTGAAGCCCCTCTGGCCTCCTTCCTTAATCCCTGCTTCCTGCCCCCCCCCATCCCCCGCCCGTCTGTAGTTCACCTCTGGTGCTGGAGGACAGTAGCAACAGGCCTATGAGATCTAGCTTTGCCTTTCTCAGGGACACTCCCGGCTCCACAGGCCCATGTGTGACGCTCACGGCAGAAGAGGCATGAGGGTGGGTACGTGGCTTCTAGCGTCTAAGTGCCTGCAGAGCACTCTAGGTTCTGCTAAGACAACTCAGGGCCTGTGTTTGTGCCTGACACACAGTGGGCACCCAGGGTTCCCTGTAGTCACTCCTGAGGTCACATCCGGTAAGCGTTGCCTAGGCTCCCACTGATGCCAGCATTCTACTGGAATATTGGCTTGTACTGAACTGCACAGTAGCTGGCCGTGTGGCGCTGGGGAGCCTTTTATGAATTTAACATTTGCTTCCCAGTTGTTCAGCAAACTAGAGGTGGGAGGCATGAGAGGGAGGGAGGGAGGGAGGGAGGGAGTTAGAGGAAGGGGAACAGTAGTAGAAATGAAGGTGGCTGGAAATGGGGAAGGTCAGGGCCTGGGGGAGGGGGAGAGTTGGAAAACAGAGAGGAACCAAGAGAGGAGGGTGGCACGCTACCTTCCTCGGCTTCCAGCTCCTCCAGCACCCCCGTCTCTTGGCACTTTTTGCTGTGGGCTTTCGACTTCATGTGCTTAGTCAGATTCCCTGGAAAGAAATGAGAACAGACTCAGGCCTGGTGTCAGGGAGAGGGCAGAGAGGGCTGGGCACACGGAGGCAACACACAGCTGTCAGGCCACAGCTCCTCAGACCAGTTTCAGGGGCTGGGCAGGGGCCAAGGCACCCTGTGCCCCAGTGTCCAGGCCAGACTATGCAGCCAGAACGCCTGCTGGAGGTAAAACACAGGGGCTGGAGTGGGGAGGGCATGCAGCTGGGGGGCGGGGGACGACAACAGTGAGAACCCGAGATGCCAGTTAAAATACAAACAAAAGAGAAATAAAAGAGTGCATTTTTTTTCTTCTGCTCCTGCCTTAAGTTTGAGACCAGGAGCTGGTGGCACACTCAGATAAGGTAATTTGCAATTTATTTATTTACTTATCTATCTATCTATCTATCTATCTATCTATCTATCTATCTATCTATCTATCTATCTAATGTGCACTGGTGTTTTGCCTGTATATACTCTGAGGGAGGGTGTCAAACCCCCTAGAACTAGAGTTACAGACAGTTGTGAGCTGCCGTGTGGGTGCTGGGAATTGAACCCGGGTCCTCTGGAAGAGCAGGCAGTGCCCTTAACTGCTGAGCCATCTCTCCAGCCCTGATAGTTTGCGGTCTCAAATGCTGGAATGACATGGGGTTCTTATGACTAACTCGGTAGGTGGACACTGAGAAGTCCTGGCTGAATATACTTCTAGGTCACCCAGAAGGCCAAACCTTAGGGTCTAGGCAGGGGAACCAGGGTGTGGTTATTTGTAGGAACAGTGAGGTGCGCAGGCAAGGGACATGGGTGCCACAGGCTCTGGGACCCAGGTTGGGATTTTCTTAGGAAAGTCCCCTTTTTGGGGTCAGGGCACAGTGCGGACAGAGGGCCAGCACGATTTGGGAATAGGCTGACCAAGGCTCTGGGAAGCCCTGAGGTGCTGCCCCAAGTTGTAGGCCTAGCCCCACAGGCCGAGGAGCCAGAGTTGTCACTCCTGGGCCAGGGCCCAGCAACAGCGTCAGGTTCCCCATCGTGCACACACACCACGGGCTGCTGGGTGATGAGCTTTGTGGATAGCAGGTTCTGGGAGGAGAGACCAAGCTCCCTGTCCTATCCCCAGAGAACACAGACAGACAATGTGTGACGTTCCTTTGGGTTGTGCCCTGAGGGTTGTTGTATTTCCACGTGGCTGATCACATAGCATGTCAGCAGCTCCTGAATCAGGTACAATGTCTCACAGGCCTGAAGTTGCCAAGTTTGAATGGATGGATGGAGAGGGGGTGGAATCGGAAGATAACTAGAAATGAGTGCACAGAGGGACTAGGGGATGGATGAATGGATAGTGACTAGAGGAATGTGGAGAGGAAGACTAGGAGCATATGACTCATGGATGGGACACTGGATGGATCGATGAGCAGATGATAGATGGAGTAGATGAGTGCTATGAAGAAACAGAAATGGAAGAATGGGTGGAAGTTGGTCCGTAAAGAGATGGGAGAATGGACAGCCACATGGACAGAGGCATGGATGTCCACACACGGAAATGTATGGGAGGCCAGACAGTAGAAGAAAAGGAGGGGGGCAGCTGAATGGGTGGGCAGACAAACGGAGATGGGTAGACAAGACGATCCGTGAGAGGCGACAGGAACAGGGACACTGTTAGATGAGTAGAGAGGGCTAATAGGAGGAGAGACGGACCGATGGCTGAACACAGGGAGGGCTCATAGCTGAACCATCACGGTTCGCCATCACTCAGAAGTTCCAGGTTTCGCTGAGACTGCTGGGGAAGCTGAAGTGAGATTGCCTAGGTTGGGTGAACATGGTGGCCGGAACTAGAGAGGAGCGAGTTCCTTCCCCACTCATCATTCTTGTGTCTGCCCTGCCCAGCTTGGGCCTTCCTCCTGCAGCTGCGCAGATTCAATTCAGTTTCATGCCCTTCATGCTCACTGTCTGAGTGGAGCAGGCAGGAGGAGGAAAGACAAGACAGTTGTGGACCAGAGACTCCAACTGTCCTGAGGTTCCAGTCCTTGGGTCCCTTCTCTGAGTACCCTAGGTCATAGAGGACATGAGTGTTGCTTACACTGGTGTCATTGGTCATAGACATTCTGCCTCGAAAGTTTAGATTTCTATTCAGCCATCCTAGGCACAGAGAGTGGTGTTCATAGTCTCCCGAGAAAGGCACCCCAGAAGCAGAGCGGTGAATGGGCCTTCACAGACCATGTCATTCAACCCCACTAGGCTCACTCCCTCTGTTTCTGACCACTCTGGGCTCAGGTGCTGATGACATCATTGGGCAAGATTCCTGGCTGTCCTAGGTGCCGGCAGGGCTCCTGTAAACCAGTATGGTGAAGCAATCGGCCTGGAGCCGCAGTGCTGGCTAGTGTCAAGCCCTGGCTAGACTCAGGGCTTGAAGCACTCTGATCTGGCTGGCCTTGCAGTGGAAGAGTGGATCTAGGTGGTTTTGTAGCTGGATGGCCTGGTGGGTGGGGTAGGGTGGATCTGGGCTCTGTACTGCTAGCCATGTGCTTTTGAGCAAGCTTTTTCAATATTCCTCACCTTGTGGGGCCCCAGTTTCTGTAGCTGTAAAATGATACCAACCTCGTGGGAACACTGGGGAGGTCTTAAGACAAAGCATGTGAGAGCAGAGTCTGGCTGGCACAGAGCAGAACCACCTCCCATGACAATCTCTTTGATTTAATGTTGTGCCCTGGGATGTAACCCAGGGCCTTGTGAATGGTAGGCAATTACTCTACCAGTGAGCCATGTCTCTAGCTTGGTCTCTGCCAGGCACTGTGCTGGATGAGGAGGGGGCCAGTGATCACAGGATGCTCTCTCCCTTCAGCAGGGACTGCAGAGGCTCTCAGAAGAGGTGGGAGGGAGCCCACACTCCAAAGGCCCGTCTTCCCTCTGTCAACATCCTGCAGAGGCTGTAAGGAGGAGGCTTGCCCAGCTAAGGCTTTTCCAGGCAGCCCAGGCCCCATGGATAACCCCACCTGGCATCCTGGAGTAGAGGACGGGTGAGCAGCTGGGAGAGCAGGCTGTCTGGAAGAGGAGCTGATACCAGTAAGAGCAGAAGACAGTCACCTTGTCCCCTGGGCTGAACAAGGGCCTGCCCAGAGTTGCTGTTTCTGTCCCCTAGGCAATCCGAGCAAGGGCCGGTTCAAAGCTCAGCCACCCAGTGGCCTCTAGGAAGAATCTAAACAGAGGAAAGGGACCCTCCTGGGGCTAGCCTGCTACCTCTTCCTGTCTCGCTCACCAAGACCCTCCTCAAGTAGTTACCAGAGGCCAAACTGCCACTTCAGTGTGTGACAGACACAAAGACAAGACACAAACAGGAAGACAGAGACAGACAGGAAGAGTCTCAGGATGCAGACTAGGGTGCGAGGTCTGCCAGGCCCAGCCTCGGGACCTATATATCCTGGCTGGAGCCACAACTCAAGAGCAAGACCTGGCTAAGAGGCAGGCAGACAGACCCTGAGAGGAGAGGAGGGGTTCATATTGTCAGAACTGACGGTGCACAGCTCCAGAGCCATGGCTCCACGGAAAGCCGTGTGCTCCGGCCTCGTGCCCTCCCTTCACGTCTAAGGGAAGCTTCTCCCTAGTCTCATCTATTGTAACCACTGCCCCACTCTGTGCTGGGCATGAAGTGTGAGATTCCATGCTCAGAGTCACTTCTCCTGTCCCTGGCTCAGAGTTCCAGGTGAGGAGGACTTAGCTCGCTCCTGATCATTGGTCGAGAGCAAAACCCAGCCTCCCTGAGGGATTCTCTGTACCTCTGATAATGTGAAGGCCACGGCCCTCAGACTCTGCCATCAGGACTCTCTGGATCTCTGGGGTGCCTCAGAGACAGAGAGATCCCGGGAAAGTTCCCAGAGGCCAAACTGTAGGTGGCTGGGTGTGGCTTCCAAGGAAGGTACCTCCTGGACATTGGAGGGTCCCTAAGGGCTCAAGCCATTCTCAGAGCTTCCAGAATGAGTGAGGCCAAGGGACTAAGTGGAAGCTACTCAGGGGACTGGGGTACATGGTGGGCATCCCGAGTGGGAAGCTTCCTCAGGGCTCCTCATGCTGAGGACAGTTCACGTCCTTAGACACATCTGGAAGAGGAACTGCATTTGTTGGCCACTTAGAGGTTGCTTCAATCAATGGAGGGAGGAGGATGAGGGCCTTGTGTCCTTGGGACAGGGGCTGAAGCATTTGTGGTCTCTTCTGGCCCAATCAAGAAGTTCTGTACTTTCTAAGTAAAAGACTTCCTTGTCAGTGATTCCCATCTTGCTCCCACAAAACCCCAGAAGAAGTGGGACTGGAGGTGTGAGACAGAGGGCCCACACATGTTAAGCTGGCAGGGCTCCTGCCTGATTGTTTTCTCAGCACCCTTTGAGACGTTGTTTCTGAGGTGCTAAGAAAGAGGACCCAGAAAAGGAAGTGGAAGTGTAGGCGTCTCTGTCCAACTCCAAACCTCGATGGGAAACTGTGAGCTCAGCTCGAAGATGATAGTGAGAAGACCGAGGAGGGCAGGGGTCAGCTAAGGGTGAAGGAAAGAGAAGTGGAACACGCCAGAAAGGAGGCCACTGAGGCAAGGAATATGACAAATAACCCCTGGCCTAGTACGGCAAGAGCAGAAGGCGCCAGGAAGCTAGAGGACTCAGCTCCCTCCCGTCCACAGCTGCTGCTCTGCCTCTTGTGTTATGGAAGATAAGACAAGCTGAAAACCAAAGTCTCTGGAGCCCCCTGCGGCTCCTCCTCTAGTGAACTCAGAAGAGAAGACAGGGTCCTCATGTCCAAACACAGGAGTCTGCAAAGTGCAAGAGGCAAAACCTGCCTAGGGTGCTGAGCACCCCAACTTCCTTGCGAGTCTTGCTGTCTTTCTCTGTGAGCAAGCTATAGGACCTCCCAGCAAGGGATGTGCCCCATCTAAGAACCTTATGAACCATGCTTGTCCCACCAGGGCCTGGAGACTGTAGCAGGCCCAGTCTACCATCACCCATCATAGCTCTCTGAGATGCATGCCCTCCACAACCAGTCTGTTCCTCTCATAGATGATGGCCAGACCCCATCCTGACTCTGCTGTGGGGCGTGGCTGGAAGCTGAAGTGACAGACCTTCAGGATGGGGGGGGTGAGGGTAGGTTGCAGCTGGGCCCTAGGCTGGATGCTGCAGAGAAGCCGGGTGGATCAGAGAATGCTAGGTGTGGTGAGAAGTGGAGAAAGGTGAACACGCAGGTATGTTGTGTGGTTCCCAGTGGAATGGATCGCCCATGTGAGAGTGACCGTGACGAGTGTGCATGCCAGAGGTCGTCAGATCCATGGAAGGCATGCAAAGGAAGGGTGATGATCAACAGAAAACCACCAAGTGTGGGCTAGATGCTGCAGAGGATGGGCAGCAGCTTGTGTGCGGGGTCCAGGTCTTGCCTGGGGCAGCTGTGGGCATCACTGACCAGTCTGGAGCCGCTGCTCTGCTGTGGGTACCAAGTGGAGTGGGAGCTCAGGATGTGGGGGTACTCCAGGCCCCCAGGCAGAGGGCTTTGTGCTGCCGTGGGCAGGGCGGTGCCCCCACTGACTGTCTCTTACCTTTGGTTTTAAAAGCAAAGTGACAGTGCTTGCACACATAGGGCCGGACGTCAGTGTGGGTGCGGATGTGTTTCTTCAGCATGCTGGGTTTCTTGCAGCGAATTCCACATTCCTCACAAACATATTTCCCTCGGCCGCGGCCTCGAACATATATATACTCTTCATTTGATTTGTACCTGTGAGCAACAGGTGTCATGTAAAGGAAAAAAAAAAAAAAGGCGAAGAGGCTGAGTCCCACCTCAGAAGATGAGTGAGTGTGCTCCCTAGCTGCATCCAGCCAGGTTTGGACACCGGGAGAGGAGGATGAGGAACAGAGGACTACAGAGCTGAATGGGCTCGGTTGCCCTGAGGATCCACCATGGACCCCTGCAGCCCAGGGTCAGATAGGTGGGATGGTGTCTTCCCTTTCCCCAGAGCCACAGGCGCCAATTTTTCCTGGCAAGAAAGCAAAGGACGCCAAAGTTGCAGATTCCTTGCTGGCTGCCTTCCCACAGCCACCTGCTGCCGTGGCTCTGACACAGAGAAAAGCCACTGGAGACCACCAGAGCCACACAGAGAGAAAAACTCACAAAGTAACAGCCGCTGCTATTCATCAAGCCTGAGTTAAGTCACCATCGCCTCACAAGGAAGAGCTGAATCAGCTCAGAGAGGGTGAGATACCCACTGGAGCACCTAGTCAGAAAGGCTGAATCAGAATCTGAACGTTCCCACACCAAGCTGCCCATCTCCCCACAAGGGGCAATGAAAGAGAAGGCAGCTGATCAGGAAGCCACCCAGACTCTTCTATGAGGCAGGTACAGGGGCCACCACTGTTTTCCTGGGTACAGACTGTGAGCCAGGGCCTCTGAGCTCTCTTCCTCATCCCATTTAGCTAAGCTGCAAGTTACATGGGACCTAGATTACTCCCAGCAGGTCAGGGAGGTCACCAACTCGCCACCTCTTGAGCAAGCAGCCCACTTGCTCAGGCTGCAGATGCCTCAGATTCCAAGTCAGAATGCTATTTCCTCACTGAGAAAGATGCCCACGAGTGCCACAGAGACAGCCAGGTGGCCAGCTTTGTGGGCAAAAGCTATCTGTGTGCAGGTGTCCGGGTGAGATAGAGAAGCTGTGAGGAATAGCAGGAGGGATGGCCCTGGAAGACCCAGGAGGGAAGCTCCTGACTCAGAAACCATGGACCGCTATAAGACACTGGCAGGAGGGAACATGCCTCCTCGGTGTCCTCAACAAGAATTGCCCATCATCTGTCCTCCCTGGAGAGGGGCACGTGGATGCAGAGATGACACCAACTAAGACTCCAGACTGCTCAACTGGCAGCTCAGGGCTAAGATGAGATGTGACAAGGATGGACTCGGGAGAGGGCCTCTTAATAGGGAGCTACAGGCAGCAGTGGGAAGCTCTTCTCATGTTCCATGCCTTCACACGCACAACCACACACTCCTCACACACCCACAGCCACACTCACACCTCACCAAACAACCACACACTCCTCACACACCCACAGCCACACTCACACCTCACCAAACAACCACACACTCCTCATACACCCACAGACACACTCACATCTCACACCCACAACCACACACTCCTCACACACCCACAGTCACACTCACACCTCACCAAACAACCACAAATCCCTCATATACCCACAGACACACTCACATCTCACAAAACAACCACACACTCCTCACACACCCACAGACACACTCACACCTCACCAAACAACCACACACTCCTCACACACCCACAGCCACACTCACACCTCACCAAACAACCACACACTCCCAAACCCCCATAGTCACCTCCACACCCTTACAGCCAGGATCACATACTGCTCACCCTCAGTCACATTCACACCCTCATACCCACAATCACACATCCCAAATACCCACATTCACTTACGCTCACGCATACCTCACCCCCAGTCACCCTTACACTCTCACACCAACAGCTACACAGCCCTCACCCTTAGTCACACCCTCACACCAACAATCACACACCCTCCACCTTCAGTCACCCTTACACTCTCATACCCATGGTCACACACTGTTCAAGCACACTCACACCTCCACTCTCCCACCCCCACCCCACAATCACACTCCACATATATATCCTGTGTTCAAAAGAAAGAACAGCAGGCCATGGGGGGCAGTGAAGGACACCCAGAGTACCCTGTGTACAATGTAGGGGTTGCCCTTCAAAGTCACAGCACTTTGCCTTCATTCTCATGTTTCCCTTGTGTCCCTGGGACCTAGTCTCCAGGGGAATCAAGCTGAGACAGGCACCTTTCCAAGGGGTGAGGATGACTGTGTGCTGTAGGCTCTCTGTCATCTGCCACCAGCCTCCAATTGGCTCTTCTCAGTGGGTCCATGACACTCACCACCCTTCCATGTCACACTGCTGCTCCCCACAGAGCCCTACAGCCATTCTGGTCTCCTCTTATATGAGTTTTACTCTGCTCATGGCAACTCAGCGGTGGCTCTACGTGTCAATCCATCTCGACCCCTGGTCCCTTCACGTCTTCCTCCGTATCACATTAAAGACATACAGTCTTCATAGAGAGAGGTTTTCAAAGGGGATTCTTACACCACCTGGTCACGCACTGTAGGAGTCGGGCGCCATCTACTGGGCAGCACGTGGGGAGAGCCAGGGCTAGGAGTGGCCGGGAAGGAGAAGGGAGGATTCTCAGCAAGGACGCTGAAGAGATGTTAAAAGGTGTGGGGAGCTGGAGACCAGACAGGTGCACCACCACCACTGGCCAGCTGAAGGAGTCCAGACCTGCTTGAAGTTATGTTACAGGCAAACAAAACCTCAACAAGAGGCAACCATCCTGTGCTGTGGAGATGGTGGAGACTTGGGGAGGCACTAAGACAGGAAATACGGGGTATTCTGGGTGTGGACTCTACAGTCCTTGTGGTATCTCTATAGAGGAGGGGTCAGAATGAGGGATAAACAGACATCTGAAGTTTCCACTTGCCTTGTTCTTGAGACCATTCACAGGCTGGGAGTGAGGCAATGAAGGCCTTCATATTCATCCATCCATCCATCCATCCATCCATCCATCCATCCATCCATCCATCTATCTACTTATTTTCAAGACAAGGTTTCTCTGTGTAATAGTCCCGGCTGTCCTGGAACTCGCTCTGTAGACCAGGCTAACCTCAAACTCATAGAGATCCACTTGCCTCTTCTGCCTGAGTGCTGGGATTAAAGGCATGCGCCACCACCGCCTGGTGGAGGGCCTTCATTTTAATAAGATATGGGTGAGAAAGATATGCAGACCTAGCTAGCACATGGCTGGGACCTTGGATGCACAATTCTGTAGATTTGTGAAGAGGAGGGTGACCAGGCAAAACAATGGAAAGCCACTCAAGAATGCTGCCATAGGAAGAGGCCTGGGAGGCCCAGGGGAAGGGTGTGCAGAAACAATGCTGGTTTAACCTGCCTCAAGCAGAGCAAGGCCAGAGCAATAAGGCCTGAGGACAGGCCTAAGGTTTGGAAGCCCACGGAAGATGGTTCAGAAAGGGGCAGGGAGGGCCTGAGGATAGTCACTGAGGGGTTTTGAAGAGGCAACCTTGGTTGAACACAGAGACCCCGTGACTTGCCAGCTCTTTGAAGGCTGAGACCGTGGCTCGGTTAGCTTTGTGGAACCACTTTCTGTCAATGCGGGCCAGTCCTTCCTCTGCCTGAACCCAGTACCCACCCTGTTTAGGTCAGCTCCCTCCTACCAGTCACCTGTGTTCACTGGAGCAATCCCAGAGTCTGGCGGGGTACCACCTGGTGCCCGCAAGTGCTCAGAAAAGGCTCACAAGTTACAGGTCAGAACTGCCAGCACCTCTGTTCAAGTATGCTAGGGTCAGACTCAGCACTGATTTCCTACCCCACGAGCCCTCAGACACAGGTTTCAGCTAATGCTGAAGGCTTCTCCACCATGCACAAGGTCGAATGAACATGCCTATGCTTTTTTTTGTTAGTTCTTTTAAATTGAATTTTCAGTTAGCATACAAAGTAATGAGAATCAGCGTGACATTTTCATACTTACGCATTATACGTTGTTCCCTCTCCCCCATATACCCTGTCCTCCTGTCCCTGCTCTGGTTGGTTCCTTTCCTCCCAACAAACAGTGCCCTTTTATGTTTTTTGTCTTAACTATATAGGCCAGGCTAGCCCCAAGTCTTCAGGCCTAACTGTTTATAAGCATGCACTGCCATGCCCAGATGCCTCCACTTTCTAATGAGAATGAAAATAGGGTAGAGGCCAGAAGGACTTGGGTCTAACCTCTGGCTTTTACTAGAACTTGCTGGATGACCATAGGCAGATCACCTCTCCTTCCTCAGGACCAGTCAATCTTTGTTCCTTGGGAATATGAAGCCCTTCATAGGCTGGATATTATCCACCCTCCTCCCTCCCAGCCCCCAGTCCTTTTACTCTGGTACAGAAAAGACAACCAAGGCCCAAGAACTTAACTGACATGGTCAAGATGGCCCAGTGATGATCTTCCCCCTAGCACCCAGCTGCCACAAAGACCCGCTGCCCACTCTCGGATGGTACTGAATGCAGTTTCCTGGTGACTTGGGACCTGCTGTGCTGCAGACAGGGAAGAACAACATTGCTGTCCACCCAGCCTTTCCTAAAACTCTAGCTTGGGCTGGAACATCCGGGTATGGGCGGCTGCAGAAAGCCAGGGCTGGAAAGCAGAGAAGCAAGGGGAACCCTGGAGCGTGGATCTGCCTCCCAGCTGCTGGCCACCCCCTCCTCTACTGGATACTTTCCCTTGGAGGCCCGAGACACAGGCTTCCCTTTTCAAAGGGGATGAGTGACTGACCCTCTCTCTGTTAGGTGACTGCAAGACAGTCTACTGCTGGCAGACCTGGTGTAGGTGACTTATGACTCTGGGGACCCAAGTAGCCTCTCTAAACCCGACTGTTCACCTGTCTGCTGCAGTCTGGACGAGCCACAGTGTTAGCTTTTAAGGAAAAAGGGACAACTGTAGGAATTTGGAATGTGTTATCTGTCTTAAGACCAGGCACTCTGACTTTCTGAGATCCGGGGATGAGGGCTGTTAAGAGCAGGCTCTGCTCTGGAGCCCCAAGCCCTCCTAGGGTGGGAAATAGCCCTCTTGTCCTTCAGTCTGGAGCTGGGTAATAATAGGTGGGTGAAGTGTGTGTGTATGTGTGTG